GAGTATTGACAGAGGTCGCCGCCAGAACAAAAGCAGTTTCATTGCCTGTCTGACATCTTATCACCGCTGAACAATAAATAGGTGTGAATATTTTTAGGCATGTTGTCGAAACAAAGAATAGGATTAGGAACAATGCCGTTTTGGAACAGCTGGTTTAAACAATGAAGACAGTCACGGTCTTGATGAATTGGGGGTGCGGTTAGTAATAGGTACTTTTCAAGTTTTCAATTTTTGTTAAGAACTCTTTAACCCCGAAGCCGGGAATTGGGGGTGCGGTTACTATTACGTATGCGGTTTATATTAGGACTTTAACGGTACTTGACCCTATTTTCATTGTTTTATTTTATGTTGCGTTTTCATACTTATGTGATATTAGCCCATAGTGTCCAATTTAATATTTGGCTGGTATTTTATTTGGTTGAAATTGAGATGCTTCATTAATAGCATAAAGTTCAGTTTTAGCAAGCCTGTGACTTCATGGTCCAGTCTATGTATGTTAGGAAAAGCAGTGGTGCGAGTATCTTCTGGAATCGCATTAAGCCTAGATTCAATATGATGTCCATGGTTGAGTTATCTTTCAAGGTAAAGTACACTTAAGTAGAAAATGAACACAATCTGCTATATTTGTGACTGTTATCTTTTGTTTCATTTTGCAGACTGTTCCAGAAAATGTTAGAAAAGTAGTGACAAAATCCAACTCTGCTGATAGTATCCACCCAAGGATAGAAAATAAAAGCACCACATCCTTGTTATACAGTGTAGAATGTTACAGATCTCAAAGAAGAACACGAACTAAGCCTCCAGCACAGCAAGTTGTGAAAAGAGATCCGCCTAAACCATGTATTGAGAGACAGGAATCAAGGGTTATGATACACATGTCAAACAAAGAACAAATTCAGGTGTGTGCAAATGAATTACACCATATATTTAATTATAACCAGAAAAAAAAACAAAAAACAGTTGGCTCTCGACAAAATAAACAGAAACATTGAGAACAGGAAACATTGTATGATTAAAATACATCTACTGCATGAATGCACTGTTTAAAGCGAGGGGGGTAGTCGCCTGCACGCACACACGAGAATTGAGTCCCAGGCAACGATAACGCAAGCTAAAAATGCAAAGGCTCATGGGTAGATGTATTGTTTGTAAACAATTACACGCTATTGCCATCTGATGCATGTGCAGGTGAGGACTCCCCCGCTTTAATCTTCAAATGAATGACTTACATTACACTGTAGGTAATAACCATATAAAGCTAAATTTACTGATTTAATCATTAACTGGACACTACAGCCGATGTCAAGGCTATTTGAGGTGCTTGGCTACCGTTAAACAAATTATCAGATTTCACCGGCGTTTACAGTATGGATTTATTTTATGCTGTTCACAAAACTACTTTCTTCACAAAATGTATGTCAAACAGCCATAGAAATGATGTTTTTTGAACCATTTGCAATTGGTTTCTATGGTGAGAACTGCTCACCATATCTGAAAACTGTTTAGTTACATATGGTGAAAAAAATGTGTCGTTAAAGATAAGTAATTATTGTTGTCAAGAATAATTAGGAAATTCTAATAACTACTATTCTTTTTTTTATAAAATAATCCTTTAACGTGGCTTCCTGTAAAAATTGATCCAAAACTGTTAATTTTTGCATCTTTTTAGGTAGTTTTTCTTTTCATACTAGGATAAAAACCTGAAAAGTTGATATGTCATCTTTGAAACAAAATATATGATAAATGTTTCGCAATACCAGTAACACAATGTTTTCCTAGGATAGATCAATGTCAATTTAAGTATGTTTAATAGATTTTTTTTATTTGACAATTCAGACATTAATGGAAGAGATATCTGCACAGCAATCTATTATTCACCAAACCAGTCAAGCATTGAATCTGGTTGCCGCCAATGGTGATGCACTGAAAGGTACAGAACAAGAAATAGAAGCAGAGAGACTCTTAGCCATTGCCAGTAAGTAGCCTTTTATTTTCTGTTCACTTCTTTATAGTGCTGTGATTATAATGCACAATATTCAACAGATAGTTTATCTGCTGCATTAATGCTACTGTACTTTCTCTATTAATTAGTACATGTAAATTAACACTCGCATGTATTGTATACTTACTTATTTTCACCGTACATAAGCGTCTTTCATTTACCGTAAAAAACTCCAAAATTTCGACCCCTCTAAAAATTTGAGCCGTCTAATTATTTGCCGGGTTTCGGTTTTTTTATTTACCTCCAAATTTTCGACTCCACTAAAAATTTACCGACTCATTCTTATTCGAAATTGCGACCAGTTTTGGTTTTCCCCCAAACAAAAAAAATAAAAAACGATGTGAGCGTCCGAACGGGACTTTCCCCGAAGGCATGAATCCGGGTTTCTGATTGACTGAGAGATTTTTATTTTATTGGTAACAAAGTATATTCTAAAACAAAGTTTCAAATAAAAACGAACACAACACACATCTTCTACATAGAAGCAAATGATCGTGGTTGCAAATCCGGTCATGCTGAGTTTCTGAATTGTTGATTATTACTCAGTAGTGATTAT